TATATCCTTCCTGATGCGAATAAAGTACTAAGCTAATGTTTAATGTCAAAGAGTCTCGAATTTACATGACGGAAATGCTACGGTCCCTTCCATGATCTGTTGATGTTCCTTAGTGCCCACTTTTCTGCTCGAGGTTGTCTAGGTTAACTATCATGACTTTGATGTCTGTCCAAATCAGTTGGTTTTATTTACGTGTAGGCTAGGACTTGTGATGCTTTCCTTACCGATGATAGCTAACAACGCCCAACCAAGCTGATCAATAAGGTTCTAGATCAGCTTTACCAGCTTAGCGTATGTTGACACTGACACATTTTCATCCAACTTTCAGCACACGTTTTTACTCTAACCTTAAATATTTGCTGGGAGATCATTTGCGGGACATACACTTTACATGATACATGTAAGGCGAGTTTGTAGTAATGCTCCAATACGGTGTATTTTTGTTAATAATTGGATTTAAAGGATTGTTTTATCGGGTAATCGAAATTAAAACTAGGGTAGCATGTTTTTTGCCATTAACTTTCGACTTGCGAGTTAACTATGCAAAACGAGCTGTTAGGTAATCATTCTCCAAGAAATTATTTTTATCTAAACGTTATTGCGATATGATCATGCGTTATCGACAACTTTTATATAAACTGTGTTTTACAACAATTATGAAACACGTTTTTACAGCTTATATTTATCACTCTTGTTAGCCCTGATGTAAGCGCGCGGGAGTCTTGCTGTGGGAGGAACCCGGATTACCCGTAGAAAACCTATTGGTCGGGCTGGTGACCCCATACTTTTTTCACGTCCGATCGGGGAAGCTTGTCGACATCTTTTAAACATCACATCGACATAATTAACTCGCAAGTTGAAGTCGATGTCAGAAATATGCCACCATATAAAACAATCATTATAATGACATTATTCGTTAGATATTTCCTCATAATCCAGCATTGGAATTCCTGTACATTTTCTTGTACGAATCTGTTAAAGCATGCATATGAAATTAAGCTGTGTGTAATCAAATTAGCATTAAAAGAATGGTTTTATGTTAAACATTAATAGTGTTAGAAAGTAAGGTTGCTATAAGCTGAAAGTGATTGGCTAAGAAGTATATCAATGTGTGCCAATGAATGTCATTCCTCCTATGATATAGCATCACCTCTAACTAATAAAAATATCAAAATCCAGGATTGTTATGTGCATGCAGGAAAGGAGTGGCTAGGGAGTGGATAAATTTCATTCAATAAGATATTTGAATTTATGAAATGACATCAACCGTAATTTTAAAAAAATATATCAACAAATATTTAAAGAAATAGAGAAACAATAAAAAAAGGAAAATTATTGAAGAATTTATTGTATTTTCAATATAATACACCGCACGGAATTGCTTCCTATGAATAAAATATAGTCCTTTCCATAGACATTCATATGTACAGCAGTGGGCGGCATGTATTAGACACAGGATTAAGGAATGTTGATGATGCCATTATTTTGGGCGATTAACATGTAAGTCGTGACTGAATACGTCATTACTGTTCCGGATTAATCTCTAACCGTCTGTGACATTTTGTAGTAGATGATTCAGTTGTTATAGTATAACGCCTTCGATAGGTTTCAGATATTCTGAAAATGCCATCTGAGGTTTCCTTTATGTGAAAACAATGACCTTAAAAAGAAATCTGTTAACATAACGGGTCCCAACAACAATATAAACACGCACAGGTCTACTCATAAATGAATAACACATGCTTAAGATAGTCTTTTCATTGTTTCGAGATCAGAATTGTCCATTTGTTAAACTTTTGACCTTTCGAAAAGTCTGCTTGAGTTAACTACTCCTGATAAAAGAGTGTATCACTGACATTTCTGTCCTCTATAAAGACCAATTTGACCCCATATAAATAGGTTCTAATTATTTTGTCTCATCCTGTGTAAACATCGTACGATACATTTACATTGTGCTGCGCTTTGTACGTTCCCTACGTCAAACATGCGTCAAATTGATCTGAAAAAACCCCGAACAAACAAAATGAAAATAAAACAGACAAAAAAAAATAAAAAAAATACTCACTTGATTTTTCTTATGTGTTAAGCAATGCTTCTAACTTTTGTTTTGTATATGATGATACTCCTAAGGAGGAAATATACTGAAATCCTGGAAAGTGTACTTAAATAACCTGGTGAACGTTCAGAATTATAGTTAATCGCAACAACAAACTAACTCGTTATCGGTAGAATGTCACCAAGTGGGTAACTGTGTTGGGTGCCTTCGGCATGGTATAGCAATGAAGTAAAACTCCAAAGTCGGCATCAGATTCACGTTTTCGCAAGGATCATACATCAATTCACCGCCTCCAGCACACACTTGTACAATACACACATTAAGGTAAATCAAAACATGACATTAGCTGGTTTGCGTATGCAACAGGACATTAAACACAATAAAAACCATTGGATTTTGTTTATGTATTTGCAAATGAATTATTTGTTAATTCAACCGGCAGTAATATGGGTTAATTGTTATGGGTGTTTACATCCGGTGCAGACGGCAACAATATTGTAAACGTTTAACCGAATCAAGAACATTGAACCCGGATCAACTGATATCGGTTCAGGCTAATATCAAGTTATCAGTCAGAATGGGAGTGGAAAACTGATTATCACCCCGGCGACTGATAGGAAAACATGAAGGACGCTTGTATCGCACGTGCATAATAGTAATTATCCGAGATTGTGATCATTAAGAAATTAATAACATATTTGCATGTATTATTGTTGACAAAACAACAAAGAAGATAAAAAATAAAAAATGACGACTCCCGCTTTTAAGCAATATTTCAGAATACTGATTTATATCCTCTTTCGTGATATACAAACTAATGTTGATTAAATCTATTTTACCACGTGAAATATATCTGAATGACCTTTCATATCTATCAGCGTCTCTAATTCAACGTGACCTAGATAATAAAAGTATTTGGTTTCTTTTGCACTTGCCAGCATTGTGTCATAAAATGCCTCGTTTCCCCCTCACTATCAAGCGTCAGCTTCAACTGATGTTATAATTGGTAAATGCTGAAGCCAATGACCCTGGTTTCAAAGTGGAACGTGATGTATTTAATGAATACAAAGATAGCCACAATCCTGCCTTTTTATTCCAAGAAAAGTCACACAATTCTTACTTGTATACGTTTGCAATACGCAAAGTCTTTTGGAAAACACTGTTGCATGTTCTTTGTTCGATACAAATCACGCACACACACACCATATGCACGCGCATACATATATATTATTAGCCTTAGCAATGATACATGGTTATTAAACGAAGGGGAAGGGGACGGGGCGGGGGGAAGAATGCATATCGTCCTTACTTTTGCCCCGTTCCTCTTTTATCATATGTTTGATTAATTTGATTTGTTTTCGATACGTTCGCAAGGGATCGACCACGTACATGTAGCCCCTTGTTTAGTATCAAGACGCTCCGTCAAATGAGCTCTTCCGAATGAGGTTAAGAGTAATTTCCATTTGTCGTGTAGGTGGAAAAAGGCTAGTATTTATTAGATAAACATACTCCCCACCCAGTAAATACCTCCTTTTGAGTTTTCAATGTTTCCCGATCCCTACGTAGGCGCCACTTTAACAGGGGTCATCATTTTGCAAAGCCTACGTTGTGGAATTGTGTTAAATATTCATAGTCCGTTCTGTCTATCACGATGCATCGGCTCGATCAAGCAAGATCCTTATGTAAAACTCAAACCAGCTGATGTGTATTGAGTTAAATATTTGTGATTGTCATTCATATCTCTCTGCATACGTCAACATTCCTGTGGTTAACAAATCACTGCATATGTCGGTACTGAAGATTTTACACCAAGAGACGAGTATGTAACTTGAACACCCCGATGCTGTTTTATATGATTTATCGGGGTTTGGTCAGTGCATCTAGTTCATGTATACCTTTGCATATTTTATAATACATAAGGGCTGTAAATCAGGTGTCGGATGTAGACACAGACTAATCCAGTTAGTGAAAGTTCAAAAACTCATACCATGTACATTTATGCTGAATAAGCACTACTCTATACGAAGCTATGAGACTATGCATGAATAAAGTAATAATAACTAATTCTTAAACAGTACACTGATGTCAAGAAAAAAAAGGTTAACACTTCACCTAAGATAACTTATTCACCAATAATATTAATTTGCATTGATAATTAAAAAGAAAATAGGTAATATCCTCTGTTTGGTTATCAAGCTTATCTTTGTACAATTTTGACAATAACGTTGGATAACAAGAATCGAAGTGATCATGACCTTAATGACTATCAATGATATCCATGTTTACACGGTGTGTGGTGTGCCATAAATCTTTGTGTTGAGATCGATTTATATATTGATTGTTAATATCCATACCATTAATTAGTCTTGGTGTACAACTTTGAAAGCATTGTAAAGATTAAGTATTAAGAAATTAAAACAGTTAACAAAATTCCTTCGATATTTATAAAAAAACACTATAACATGAAATGTTCGTTGTGTATAAACATTCGTGGTTTTCGTGGTTGCTATTGAACCGTAAAAATAATTACAACGAATTTGAATGATTTACGTGTCTACTATTTGTTAATATAGGATATTCACGAAAGTTTGTACAACGAAACGATCTAAAAGACTTCAAACCACGAACATTTTGTGTTATACAGTATATGTTTCGTTCGTGAAATATCATTAACGATTACACAGTTCTCTGTAGGCCACGTATCATCGGTTGATACATTGCTTGCACCTAGAGTTTGTACGTAAGAGACACTGGTATCTATGATTGGCGAAACTATGAATGGAACTCTCAACCATGTGGGGGCGTGTAGGAGTGTGCCAAGATGGATTTTTATTGGTCGATCATCACATGCTATACCCATTCATGTTTGCTTCCATGAATGAGGGCTCCGTGTGTGTATGTATTTAACCGGCAGATGGCCGTGTGTCATAGTGACCTAGAGCGGCTAAGTTACACCGTTAGCGATACTCAAATAAGGCTTTTCGATAAGGCAGGTAAGTAGTGTATATCTATATTGATGTGAAGCGAATATAAGACATGTGCATAAACAAGTAAGTATTTGTAAAGGATATCATTTCAATTTAACTATTTATTCAAATATTTGAATAACCTTTAATACAAGTTGTGTAGGAGCCTAGCTTGCATGTGTTGATACGTATTATTGAGCGTAGTATTTACTTAACCCCTGTATAACATGTTTCCGTTTTTGTCATATCAGCATTTTATTTTTCATTTCAAAGGTACGTTATACATGTATGTCGATGTGCAGGTGCTGTTATTGATAGTGATGGAACTAAATGCATTATTTAGGAAATATTATAACGTATCGGTGGTCGGAATTGAAGCATTACTGTTTTCATTATGAAATGTTTTTAGACGGGCCAATATATTGTTTTTATGTTCAATCGAATACTTTATACCGCTTAAGAATTAAACCTATGCAGTAAACCCGATAACCTTAAATATATCGACAATCTAGTTGTAATTCGTGAATACTACAATAGTTACACAACACGTTTATTCAATATGATATATATTCACAAAAGATAATCGGTTCTTTCAGAGAGGTAGCTTATAACAGTTATGATGAAAAATATTAAGCAAGTCAAATACATCAAACGTGTAATTATAAAATCATTAATTTTGAAATGTAATACAGAACATACATGAGCATGTTGATACATGAACACGTATTATGTCTCATATGCTTCTGAGTCAACATTGCAACAGATGTTATAGTGGAACTGGCAACTGTACTGTCATCTTACGCAGATAGTTGGTAAAACAGCAATAATTGTGTCAGCGGTATACCGTCTGATACATACTTAACGGTTACGTACAGCGTGGTTATCGACAGTAGAACGTGCTAATATGATACGGAAAATTCCTGTAAGTTTCACAGGTTTTATTTCTACAATAGTGTTTCACAAATGCCGATATTTGATCCTGGAAATTATTCTTTTCCATAAGATCAACGTTGTGGAAATGCTCATCTTGTGCACGAGCAACACATCGAGATCAACCGAATACGAAACTATCCTAAATCAGTGCGAGTTTTAAGTATTTCAACACCAAATTAACCAATTATCGATATCGACTTGTAGGTGAAGACTGTTTCTATCTTTATCAATCTTTATAATCTAGGTTTTTGGACACATTCAGGAAAATCGACATTAGCTATCGCGTTTGTAATTTTGGGTCGATTGATTTTCGCTTGGTGTCTTAGTTTGGCTAATATTACAGTGTCAGTAAAAGATTGCTCAATGATTGGCGAACTCGACAAGTCTAAGTGCGTGAATGTAGGGTGTGTATGTTATAAGGTATGGGTTATTTCCTTTGATTGTAATTTGGCAAACAGTAAAGGCTTTGAACGTGGTTATCTGTATTCGGTCGGTCGTTTGTAAGGTGTTTTTATAGGATTAGGAAGGTATGAGTACCTTTAGTAAAAGGTCGCAAGCATTATGACGTCCAATATCCAATCCGATCCAAGTTCGCTCGGCGGTAAAATTCAACAATCAAGACACATTAAAACGCGTCAAATATTCAATACTTTATGTTGTGGACTTAATCAATAACACTACTTAATCCCCTTATAGTTGTTTCATTGCTTTTTAGTGCACAAATTGTTTCATTGCTGAGTCACAGTCAACGAAACGCTTGAACGGGTTTTTTGATTTTTTTTCTTTCTATTTTTTTAAAATTTGGATAGACTATTGGGTAATAATTCATTTTGTTTTCGTTTTCTCTGTTTGCATTCAAGTAGTATGCAAGCTTTAAATCAGTCCTTCTAGAATTTTACAAACAGGAAAGCCAAACTACGAAGAACCATTGATATCTGAAAGCATTTTAACAAATGACTTTTAGATACTAAGATATCATGAACAGACCATGACGGTTAACAATGAACTATTTGAGTTGTCGACTTACTGTTTTGCACCAATATCTGCCAATACATACGAATATTTGTTTCTCCTTTAGTATGTACTCCTTAAATTATGTTTATCAGCAACATGTTCCTAGTTTACCGTACTATTGTTGTTGTGTTACTATTACGAATTTCCAATTCTCAAAATTGTAACTTTTTCTTTTTTTCAGACGATGATATCCAGGATATGAAGCGGAACTATTCGTGACGTCACTGGTGTTACAAACTAAGGTTGCGATTGTTGGACATTTGAAATGATGCGAACTGTTTCATTTCTCATTCCCTTTTACGGAACATTTTTTGTTGCATTTTCATCATCGTCCTTAAATTTTCGGAATTTGTTCAACGAATCTGTCCCCAATAATTCGTTTTATGACAAGATCGTGGGTATACGTCCGTTTATCAAAGAAGCAACTTTAGATAGACTTCGTAAAAAGATATGTGTGTACGTCAACTGTGAACGAAACGTACCTTTCTCTGCCAAGAACGTCACGGATAGGGTCAGAATAATCAAACCAGCCCCAACTTGTAAGGTGGAAGGCACCATTCTGTCGGAACCTTCAGGTAAGTGAAGCTAAACTGATGATGCTTGCTGTACAATTATGTTGTTCGGTAATGAAATCAGATTTTATACTCATGTTTACCAATATATTCTGCCGCGTATCTGCTACCAATGTCGATGATACATGATACTTTAATTTAAAGGATAGCTGTTGTTCGAAACATGCATTTTCTTTTGCTAGTTTCACTTTATCTTTATGCCTTCGTCTAATCATTGATTAGTGTATACACATATTATTGTTTTTTTTGCCGCAAAACCGCTAATTGTATGAACTTGCCAGTTGTGTTTAGACCAAGTGACAGTAGGGTCAGAAGATGTGGAATGTTTGGTGGTGCAGGTTGTAGGTACAGATAAAATAGGGTGGGCGTGAGGAGGGGATGTCATATATAAGGGATCAATGTCACAAGCCCATTTTATTTTATAACGAGTCACCTCCCCTTAACTTTTGTATGGTTATGATTGTAGCACATTTGGGCTTATACACTTTAGGTGACCCGTATATCATTTGGGTACAGAGATAGTTTACCAATATGTCCGGGTTCGAATCCCAGTCTAGCTCCACTGATGTATTTGTATCTATTTGGACTGTCTTGAGGATGGTGTTTTGTTTAATTCATCTTAATATTTTTCATAAAATTTCTGCAATTAATGATTTTCTTGTAAGGCATGACTTTTCAATCCTTTAGTCATGCGGTAAAAAAACCAGTTACAATACTAGTAAAGCTTTTTGTTGCAGTGGTACAGGGATCCTTAAACAGGCTAAGATCATTTTAATTCCCGATCACTGTAAGATATGTGTAAAAAAAAAGGGTTTGTTGTACAAAGGTATGGGTGAACCCACTCTCTAAATTGCAGGGGATTTGCTCGCTTACGTTCTCTGCATCCCTGAAATATGCCATGAGAAAATGGAAGACTCTTTATGCGCTTCCTTGTTGATAATACAAGTAGATTGGATTGATTAACTGATGTTTATCAAAAGAATTGCACGGCAGCGTAGCGATAACAATGGGTCGCCTAGGGACTGTACAGTTTATTTTGCCTTAAACTTCACCAACAGCTACAGGCGTGCCTTCGATCTTGTCATGACAAAGTCCTGGGATGCAGAGAATGTAAGTGAGCGTAGCCTATGTGGTTTCGGGATCAGGGTTAACCTTTTCCTAATGTTCATTTATGTTTATGTTTGTGATACGATCACTTTTTTCTTGATTAACCTAGTCTGCATATCTTTTCACTCCTGTTAATTTTGAAACTCATAAGCGAAGGGGTTTTGTGTATCTGCTTTAACCGTATGTTAGACAAATTGGATTTCAACCAGTTTGGCTCTAAGCATCACCGATGAGTTCTAGAAGGACGAAACAATTACATGATGCATAGTGGATGCACGGTAGTCTAGTGGTAGGACGCGGTGCTCGTAACCGAAGGGTTGCGGGTTCGAGTCACGTAGCGGTACTGTGTTGTATCTTTGAGCAAGATACTTTACTCCGCTTGTTCCAGTCTACTAGGCTGTAAATGAGTACTTGATTGGGCAGTGCTAAAATCTTGTAATGCTAGCTGTTGGCGCCGAAATGGCAGCTCCGGCTGTATGTTCCCCAGGGAGTTGAGAAAGGTATTGACTGGTTTCAAAGGCCCTATAACCACGGATAATAATTTATGAACCGCTTTGAGACGACCTACGAACTAGGTGGGCATATAAGAATCTCTAATTATTATTATTATTTTAGTTATTAAGTTTTTGCACCTTGTCTCTATTACCAACTTTAATAGTTGCAGTCACCTGTGTGTGTGTTGTGTTCATCTATTCCGTCTTTGCGTCATCAATTTTTGAGAAAACGACGTAATTTTCTCACGCAAACCAATGACGTAACAATCAATACCTGCTCCCAAGAGAAGATAACTCTGCAATACGCAAAGACGGAATTGAAGATGAAGGTAGCACACACACAGGGGTATTCTAACGTGAGGGAGACACCACTTTATGTGATAGGAAATACAGAACGCATGCTACTATTGTTTTGCACAATAATTCATGATCAACAGCAATACTTAGCTTCAGTTACATTTATTCAGCAAATACTTTTATGCGTTTGAGGAATGTGAGGGGGGAAATAAAGCTGTTAGCGTTGTTGATTTAGTCTATATAGCCGTATAAAGTGGTACGATGTATTTATGTTTTTCCTATTATTTTGAATTGAAGACATCTGCCTGTTTCAATTTGCTTACATATCACAAATTATATATATCATTATTAACAAGGATTGAAACGAATAGCAAATATTTTTTTCAACTCAATTTTGCAACAAAGCCAAAATATGATGTTTTGCGTGGGCGTGTGAAAATAAACAGTGCTGCACAACATTAACCAGGCGTCATCCTCGTTAAGCATTACCGAGATTCATCCCGACGGTTCTGTTCCCTGTATGAAGCAATCGTCATACCGTAGATAAGATGAAACGATAGATTCCGTTTAGCTTTTAGGTGACTCCAGACAGCCCTGTGCTAATGACAACGTGTTGGATTCGCCAAATCATGCTTAGTACTGAATATATCTTTTTCAAAATCCAATAGAGATAAAAAAAATTAATGCGATTTCAGTACAACTTCCAATACGCAATTCCTAATGTAGAGTCGAGTGATTGTCGCATTTCTGATTCAGTTATCTTATTATTCTTGTTAACCGGTATCATTGTGCTTTTTAAATAATCGGGAATCGATCTGTTTGGTTTTCCTTTGTTTTCCTTTTTTTATTTCGTTTATTTTTGTGTTTTGCATCGACCTCCTATTTAATTATGCTCGTGCCCATATCTTTTATTTCTTGTTTTCAGCGATTTGTCATATTAAGATTTTTACATCTTTTGTGCTAACATAGCTCTATTTACTTGCACAGTGCTTTACAACAAAAATGAACGTATTTTTTTTTTGGAAAACAACACTGCAGATATTCATATTGGCGTGCATTAAGAGTGTTTTCATCAATCTTTGGCTAAAATATTCCACATTCTACTTAATTGCTAACTCAAACGGTCAAACTGATATCTTATTCTGATGTTTTTGTTTTTCCCTTTTGTGTCGTGTTTGATTTTTCTTTTCTGTTATGCTTTTGCTACAAACAACGATAAGCTTATGTTTGTTGAGGTAGTATAGGTTTTTCAATATACATGCTTGTTGCCTGACCACTCCCAGCAACCCATTTATAGTGCAACGCCAATTCCGTATCAATATTAACCATAATTAGTTATTAAATTGATCAATGGAGTATATGATGTCCGCAAAATATATGAACATAAACGTTTGACGATGTGTAGCTCTTGCATCAACTTTAACATGTTTGCCTCTCAATTTTGATGCTAAGAAACGGCGTTTGGTTTAAAAGTAATCTCTGACATTGTTAAGAGTTAACTTGCTATCGAGACCGCGTATCATGTCGTTGCAGGCGTAGGAATGGTACGTCTGTTTCTGAGGACTCATGTAAAATACATCACCTTTATTCCAACTTCATATGAGGCGTTTGTGTTTACGCTTATACGGTCTCACAATACTCAATAATTTATCAGAAAACAAAGCTCTATTGATAAAAGCGTTGCTTATCGAAGTACTTTATTTGCATGTAGACGAGAAGTCGAACACTTAGTAGATTGATAAACTGTATTGTGAACTAAATGTTATTGGCTAGTAAATATATTGTACAAATATCTGCATATGGACGTATTGAGACCGAGTTTAAACAATGACGTCAGATAATGATTCAATCGGTTTAAAAAAATGCAGTCCCTGAAAAAACGAAGAAAGGTGAAACTGTTAGATTTAAAGTGATGTGAGTTTAAAAAACGGTTATTTAAAACTTCCTTTTTACTTTACAGACATTGTAAATAAAACGTGTTCCTGTTAAATTTGGATGGTAGCATGGATGTTTTTCATCTAAAGTAAAGCGTCTATATTGTATGGACTTAAGCGCGATTGATACATATAGCAACCAGAAAAGTCATTTCCTGAGTGATATCGGCATGTGTGATAACCACTAGGTGTGATGCCATATCAGCTATACATAGATATACAATGTGAGCTCTCAGCTTAATTGCTGCCTTCGGCTGTCTTGAGCCGAGGGGACTATTGGTTTTATATAATAGCTATATTTTCAATTATAGTATATCAGTTATATCCTCTTGTAATATGATGTATATGTACATGTAACTGTTCTGTTTCACTGTGTCTTGATAAAGGAGTGGATCGCTCCGAAAATTTGACAACTTAAACTTGTCCACACTGTTGGAATTACTTCTTTGCCCCATATACTATTTTAAGTAATTCGTATCCTACGGACACACCTCCATTAGGATCCAGCGTTATATGGGACTTTACCGTCTGTATTACTTTTTTGACCCATAGCTATACAATGTGTAACATTATATATGTCGTTTCATTTATACTTAAATGTATATTGTTATATTATCATAATGTGTGAATTCATATCAATTAATTTAATTCATAAGCATACAATGTAAGATTATCACTTTGTGTGATGTGTCAGCTATACATAGGTATAAAATGTGCAATATCCCTATGTTTGCTGTTGTATCAGTTATACATACGTATTACTGTCGTATGAGCTATCCATACGTATACAAAGTCGTCTTGTCGCTTTTGGAAACACCTTATCTTGGATAATATAAACAAGGTTAACAAAGTCATATTCTATCATGGAAAGCAGCATGAGAGGCCATACAAAGTACCGCGCGTGGTGGGTATATGTATGTTACTGATGAGGAACGTAATGATGTCTTGGATTGATAACCATTATCTTTTTAATAGATTTTGAAGGAGAAGCTACCATTATTCCCATACGCAAATAAAATATCCAGACACGAAGCTTAAAAAGCCAATGGTGCTGTTGGTATGACTTGTAATATCTGAAATAGAACATATTTTTGTCATACAATGAAGCTCATGTAGCTTTTATTCTCATTAAGATGCGTACGCTATTCCAAACGTCTGATAGCTATATATA